GGGAAAGAGCTGTGGGGGGAGGGGGAAGGGAGTAAGGGCCTGGCAGCTGCTGCTCCTGAGAAGGGACAGTCTTTGTAAGTCCAAGGAGATCCCATCTGTCTGAGTCGTGGGATCAGGCCCCCGCAGCCACCTTCCCTACAATCCCCTGGAACCACAAACGTGGTTGGAGCCACCTTAATGAGGATGGCGAGTGTCACTCTTCCAGCCTGCCTGGCAGCCCCTCCCATTCGTTCCCTTGCAGCACCTGTGCTTTTGCTGGGATCCGAGGAGCTGGTCTCAGGTTCTGAGCGTGGGCTTGGCTTCCAGGAGGTGGGGAGCTGTGGGAGCCTGCTGCCATTTGTTTTGCTTTCCCCGAACTTCCTGCTGTGTATTTGAGGCTACTGTTCTGGGCTTAGACGTGGTCTCTCCAGAGCAGTCTTGGATTTAGATTGAGGGCGTTCCGTCACCCACACACAAGTCACTGTTCTCCCTCCCAGTGGCCATCGGCCCATGCCCGAGGGCCTTCAGCCTACATTGCAGCTCTCTCTGGCGACGTCTCCCAGAAGCTGGATTCAGAGGCTGGAGAGGGGCTGGGGCCCCCTCCTTGCAGGGTGATGGGGTCAGGAACAGCGTTTTCAGAACCTCATACTGCTCATGTTTGCCTCCCTGCAGAGGGGACTGCGGCGGTCCTGGGGAGGCCTTTCGGAACTGGTGGGGAAAGGGGATCCAGCTGCATTTGCTGGGGGCATGTGTACGATTGTGCCGTGTCTGCTTTGACTGTCAGCTCCCACCCCTTCCTCGGCTGCTCTACACATTGGGGGTGATCCGGGTACTTGTAGGCAGGCATGGGCCATACCCACAGGAGCCCAGGTACTCACCGCCCATCAGGCGGGCGATCCTCGGGGGCCCACGTGGAGTGGCTGCCCCCCCCACTGTGGGCGGGCCTTGCCCCAGCACTGGCCCTGGGGCCCTCTGGGTGCTGCTGCCTAGATTCTGCAGTGAAGCTCCCCATCCTGAGCCCTGCACCTGCCCAGGTGGGTCAGCTCCACTCCCAGTCTAGTCACTGCTTTTATTAGCAAGGTGGTCTGTGGTCCTGGCCTGGAGGGACTCTGGTCGGGCATAGCCATAGCTCCCTAGGGACAAGGGAGCTGCAGGGCTGGCTCCCGCCTACAGAATTCAGAGGAAGAAGGGAGGGAGGGATCAAGTTCACATTGGCCCATCTGCTGCTACATACCAGGCACATTGACACAGGTTCTCTCAGTTCTTACCACATACCCATGAGGCAGGCATTGTTATTCCTATTTTATTAAACTTGAAAACTGAGCTCAGTAGTGGTGATGCGGGGTCCTAACCTTCCGCCAGGTCTGTGGGGGCTCCACGCTCACTGAGCAGCAGCTAACAGCCCTCCAAGGGGGCGGGTCTCTGTAGGAGGGTGGCTGAGGTTCCACTGTCCGTGGGGTCTCGGTTCCTTAGCTCTTTGTCTCCTTTGCTCAGCTTCTGTGCCTCACAGGCTTTGGAGGCTCCAGTGACACAGCTGCAAACATGCCTTTTGGTGGAGATCAGACCAAGCAGCCCGAGTTGTCCCAGCCACTGATGAGAGAGGCCGTGGGGAGGTGCTTAGGTGGGGGTGGGGTCAGGAGACCTGAGTAGCGTCCTGAATCTTAGGTTTATTGCTAAGTGGCCTTAGATAGATCCTTCCTCTCTCTGGATTCATTCACCTCATCTGTGCATCAAGAAACTCAATGACTCCAGAAGGCCCTGCACCCTCAGTGGATGTCGTTCTGTGAGTCACCAGGCTCACCCAGGGCCACAGATTCCATCTCTGTCCTTTGCTCCACCTCTAGAGTGCCTGCTGCCTGCTCCTGGCTGGCTTAGCCTGTCCTAGGTCGTCGGGTGCAGTTTGCACTTGGGTGTGGAGCCCTCTCCCACATCCAGCCTGTTTGTGTTTTCCTTCTCTTTGCTAACTGGCCTTCCCTTTGTCTCTGTCTCCTCTGCCTCTGCTCTTGGGTAGCTGACAGTAGGGAAAGTGTCCAGTGGAATAGGGGCTGCAGCTGAAGTCCTGGTCAATCTGTACATGAATGATCACAGACCTAAGGCCCAGGCTACCTCTCCAGACCTGGTAAGAATGAATACCCCTCAGCTTTCCCCTGCAGACTGGCTCTGGCCTCCAGGGAGGGTACACAGGATGCAGAGAGGATGGCCTGGCCCTCTCCCAGGTACCCCTTCTCGTGGATAAAAGGGGCTGAGAATGGGCTGGACCAGAGCAAAGGTAGATGGAGGCTGCATGTCCTTGAAGACAGACCTCCCCCGGTGACCTCTGGGATTGTTTCACAAGCAGGGCATCTTCCTTGCTACCTGGGAACTCAGCAAAAGGCCAGGCCAGGCCATCCACATAGTCAGACATCAATTCCTGTCAATGCTCAGTGTCCAAACTAAGTAGCCCTTTTGTGTTAGTTAAAGATTTCAGTAACTGAGAAACACCCTTTTCTTTGAATTCTCCCTTTCTCCAATCAGGGCCACTCACTGCCATTACCAGTGATTTGAGTTGACAATTCCTTTGGTTTCCTTTCAGCACATTCCCTTAGAATCAACTAGAGGCACCCCTGCCTTCACCCTACCTCCACCCCCCACTTGCATTTAGGAGTTTGACTGGCAGCCTGGTGGGCTGTGGGACACAGCCTCTCCCTTTTCTGCAGTTCTATTGAACAGTTTTGATGCCACACACTTTCCTGCCTGACTTAAGTCACTGCAGGGGAACAAAGATGGATAAGACATTCAGTGACCTCTCTGTACACCCTGGGACAGGTTTCTGGAGAGGGTGTCATTGGGCAGGCATATCTGGGGAAGATGCCCACTCTGTTAGACCAGGAGACGTCACAGCCACCCCGAAACCAGGGCAACCAGGCAAGGGGACAGCCCCTCCTGGGCCCATCCATGGCCCGCCTGCCTGGGCATACAATTTACAGCAGCCCCTGCAGTTTTGGGGGCTGTGTTGGGAGCATATTTCCCACACTCACGCTTTGCTGCAGCGCCTGCAGTGATGTGAGCAGCCACGATGTCCCCATGCTCAGGCAGAATTTCTGAAAGCCGGGGCCTCGCCTTCTAAGACTCGGTGTAAGCCCTAACACACTGCTCTTCTCTCCCGATGCCCTGTGCCCCAGGAAAGTATGCGAAAGGTGTTTCCCCTGAACCTGGGCGGCAGTGACACCTGTTACTTCTGCAAGAAGCGCGTGTATGTGATGGAGCGGCTGAGCGCCGAGGGCCACTTCTTCCACCGGGAGTGTTTCCGCTGCAGCGTCTGTGCTACCACCTTGCGCCTGGCTGCCTACGCCTTCGATGGTGATGAAGGTAACCACCTTCCCCCAGGGACAGGCTGGTCTCTGCCTGGGCTCCTGTCCCTCTGGGGGCTCTGGGACACCCAACAGTTCCAGGGAGCACAGTATCATAGGGAAGCTGTTCAGGGAGCCTTAGCTCCTCTGGCCAGAGGGAGGCCATCTGCACGGGGAGGGGCTCCTGAGGGAGGAGGGAGCTGCCAGCACCTGGCGTGCGTTGGCCCCGAAGGGCACCTACTGAGTGCCACGTGTCTTGTGTATGTTTTCTCGTTCGATCTCACCTCCTCCCATCGCCCCTGTGTGGTCGAGAAACGTGCTCAGCACCACACTGCTCATGTAATAAGGATTCAATAGATGATAGCACATGGGTGTTATTATTATTTATAAAGTATGTGTTAGAAAAATAACCATAATAGTAACAGAGTAACATCCTTACTGATAGATGGCTGAGCAGAGGTCATTGGTGAAGGAATTGCCCTCATTGGTACGAGTGATTCTTTTCTTTCTTTCTTTTTTTGGTTAATTCTCACCCAAGGATATTTTTTCCATTGATTTTTTTTTTTTTTTTTTTT